ATACAATAAAGTAATAAATAAATTCTCAGTTTAAAAAAAGTGTATTAAGATTGCTTTAGTGTCAGCAACGTGCACGTGACGCCCCTAGTGTCGCGTGTGTGTTTACCATCAGACGGGCTGTATACATGCTTGCCACCTTCGAGATATGAAAAAAAAAGTTACAAAATACTGTAAAGATTATTTTTAATTTTTATGAATATGTTAGTCTGTAACAAGTCACCTAATTACCATGATCGCTAGATGTCGCTCCCATGCAATAACTTGGTATTGGCCTTAGACGTATTATAGTCTTCTGAACATGTAATTTGCTTTAATAAAGCAATTTATTTCAATTTTAAGGGTTGACCACACTGTATGTATGTAATATATGATTTTAACAACCAAAGTGACTGCGTTCAGTGTGGAACAGTCAACACAATTCTAGTGTTAGATGTGGATCAGCCTTTACTGTACCTCTTACTATATTATGCTAAGTATTATTAAGCATTTTTTTTTAAGTTTTTATTTTTTTATCTAATGTTTTGTTTATATTTTTGTAACTGATATGAGATGCCCCATCGAAACAGTGCCTTAATGGAGAATTGCTAAATGCAAACTAGAATATATATTTTCAGATTTATAATTATTATATATAACACTTACTATATTTACAATATATATAGTTTTATATGTCGTCTATGTGGATCTAAATATTGTTAAAATAATTATATATTTATTACCACTTGCAGTTATGACACGGTTATGCCGTCACACCGCGCTGTTATGTACTTCTCTATGTTTACAATTTGTAAAATAAATCTTAATAAAATAAAAGTATTAATTAATATACAATAATATTTTATTTTGCCTCCTATTATTCCTTTTTAATACAATAAATATCTTACAAATTATATTACAAATGCATATAAGATTTATTTCTAAACTGAATGTTTCAATTCTGTCTTGTAAACAATTAAAGCTTCAGTCGTTTGATATCTTCTATTTTGAAGTCCGTTCTGAAATGAAATATAAATATTGGACTATTTATTTGTTATAGGAAAACCAAGGTTTATTTAATTAAAAAAAAAAAAAATAACTACAATATACACTTATAGCTTTCAATTTAATTGGACAGTGCTCGTCTCAGACAATAATATTTTATTCAAGAAAGATACATTTTTTTTATACAACTTAGAATGGCAAACAAGCTGACGGCCCACCTGATGGAAAGTGGTAACCGTCGCTTATAGACATGAGCAGTACCATGGCCATAACAGAGTATACTGTTTCGCCCATGATACCCCTCATGCGTTGCCATTCCTGAGGACTCAGGTGTTATTTCTCTGTACCGTGTAAATTCACGCCATATCCCACCCTTCAAATCGAAACACAGCCATGCAAACACAACTGCTTCACGGTTGAAACACGAATGGGTTGCATAAGGTACAATTTACAATTTATATTCAACGAGAAAATATCTGCATTACCATAAGTCCCCAAACTAGGCCAGACCTGTATCTTGGGGACTATGAGTGCGATTACCTATTTAGTACACTTTATTTAAAAAAAAGCACAAATAACAAAAAAGTATAGGATTATTTATCTTAGACACCCTGAGGACACCCGCACACTTTTTTTTTACAAACACAGGGGGCAAACGAGCATGCGGCTCACCTGATGGTAAGTGACTACCGCCGTCCATGATCATCCACAACACCAACGGCATTCCAGGTGTACTGCCGGCTTTTTAAAAAGGCATATGCTCTTTTCTTGAAAGTTACATTGTCGTATCGGTTCGGAAATACTGCTGCTGGAAGTTGATTCCAAAGAGTGGTTGTGCGTGGAAGAAAGTGCCTTGAAAAACGCACGGTGGAGGACCGCCACTCGTCCAGAGGATTGGGATGAAATTTTAGTTTATGACAGGTTGTACGGTGGTGAAAATCAGCAGCAGGTATCAATCCGAACAATTCCTCAGACCACTCGCCATGTTAAATTCGGTAGAAGATGCACAGAGATGCAACATCTCTACGCAGTTTCAGTGGGTCGAGTCGGACACGTGAGGCAAATATGTGTACTACATAAATATTTATTTTATTTATTTATTAGTAGATAAATATATTTTTCTCAAACATGCTTGGAAATGTGAGCATTATTTTGACAATCTTCTTCGAGATAACTCAAAATTGCCGTACTGGCCAGATACATGCGGGCAGCGGCCGACTAAAGTTGTATGAAAATCCATATCTGTCGTATTTTGCGGCCAAATAAATTACTATGTAAACTCATATCTATCCTGTAATTTAAAAATGGAATGAGCTTTTACTTCGAAACATGCCTACCAAGGAGGTAATTAATAAAAGGTTTTATTTAAATTTCGAACTGGCTTGCAATTAGAAAGCTGTTTATTGAAAAATAACAAAGGAAAATTATGGCGCGTGAAAAATTATTACTCGTATTGATCGTTATTCGTCATTGAACTTAAAAAGTAAAATTGTGTTTTTGATTTCCGCACATTGTTTGAGAAAAAGTACTAAAGAAGCCTTGGCCACAGCTAGGCATTGATGGACTCACGTATGTGTGCCTCGGCTACGCCTTGGCCTACATTTGCACGTTCGTCCATCAATGCCTCAGTTGCTGGCCGCTGCAGTAATGTACTACTCCAACAATAACAGTAAATATAAATTCTAATTAGAACCTGATATCCAATAATTGGATAGTTACGGAATATAAAACAAACTCCTGAGACTGGCAAGAGTATGCTATAGTTTGTTGACACGACGGTAATACAAAATGGAGGTGTAAATATGGTCAGTTTAGATATCAGCCGTTAATTGTCCACTGCTGGACATTGGACAGGATGAGCATTAGCATATAGGCTTTGACAATATGATTTCCATATATCTATCACTAGATCTATTTCTGTCAGGAGTTGACCCCTTTTCGTTTTCTATGGCCCATGTCTTTGGTTTAAATTCACGGGTGAGACTCTTGTTGTTCAAGAAAAGGTCTCTCGTCTGGAAACTTTGAGCATTCGCTTCAACCTCGTGGCATATTGAGTTAATGTAGTCGTTATAGTCTCTTCGAGATAATCGCTGAACCTTCGCAGACCTTTATATTTAATGCTTTCGATGCTTACGGTCCCTGTATCTCCTCTAAATATCGCCTTTCATTCCTTGATGACGTGCCATGTTTCCTCTGTAATCCAAATTTTTCTGGGAGCATCAGGCGTCATACTTTGGATGTTCTTACGTGACATAAGTATCAGGTTTTTAACTCTGTTCCAATTATCGTCAGCATTAAGTTGACTGTCTATAATTAAGTCTGCTGCCCCGGTCTCAAAGCGCTCAGCAAAGTCTTGTTCTCCACGGCATGGTCTTCTCACGAATGGTTGAATTGTGCAATTGCACTTTTTGAGCCTCACCCTCATTTCTGCTATTAAGAGCTTATGATCGCTTCCGCAATCTGCCCCCGGATAGGTTTTAGCATTAGTAATACATGACCGCCATCTTTTTGCCACAGCGATGTAATCGATTTGATTTCGTGCACGATCTCCCGGCATTATCCACGTCTCCTCGGGTGGTTTTTAAAACACGTGTTCATAATCGTGAGGGAGTTCTCTGCACAGAATTGAAGCTACATTTCCTCTCTCTCATTCCTTTGACCCAAACCATATTTTCCGACTACTTCTCTCAGGTGGTCATCTTTCGACGTTTCGCCAATTTTTGCATTTAGGTCTCCCAGTAGCAGCGTGATATCTCTTCTTGGCATGCCTTTCAGAGACTCCTCGAGTCGACCATAGAACTCCTCATAATACCCTCGGTTGCGGCAGACGTAGGCGCATACACCACCACCACATTGATACGACAAGGTCTTGCATTAATTCTCAATGTTAGTGTGCGATCGCTTATTGGGTTGTAACTTAAAACCGCCTTGTTTATATCTGTTGATACAGAAAGAGCTACACCATTCCTACTTTTGTCACTCGGCCCAGAGAAATAAACAGTGTGGCCACTTGGGGATGTACAAAACCCTGAACCTCTCATGTGTGTTTCAGTGATCCCAAGTATCTTTATATTGTATTGTTCCTGTTCCTTGTGTACAATCTCTCTTTCTCCTGGCTGCAGCATACCGCGCACATTCCATGTTCCTATTATAACCTTCTTGCGAATGACCACACGATGATCATTTATATCACCAGTAGCTTTCTGTTCGCACTGCACCTGGTGAGTCATATCCACGCGGCCCATTAGCATATTTCCCACCATGCGACCTGGACTCGACATGGCGCCAGGTGGTTACCGGATCGCATACCTTCTTTCTTTTTCTATGTATCACTTTCACTTTCAAAGGATTTCTTAGGAAAAATAGTGCAGTGGATTCCCCTTGCCTTCTGCACCAGTCATTTTTCGACCCTGAGCAGACAAGGGTAGGTGAATGGTTATTCTGCCATTTGCTCTGTCGCCAGAGCTCCGTCCGTTATCTAGCAGGAGGCACCACGGAGTTAACCGCCGCCATTACACGCGAACAGGTGGGGTTGACATTTGGGCTGGATTCAACGATTTTATCCTAGTCCCTTACTTCCCTCCAATCGAGTATCCAATTAAGTACCTTAAATAAATTGTGCATTTAACATAAATCAATATGACCCTTTATAGTATGTAATTTAAATGAATATTTTTGAAGATATTACAGATTTAAAATGCAGGGACATAGCGGTTGCGTCGGTACCGGCCGGGGGGCCGGCGGCGCTAAATATGGCCTGCACAGCGTGCAGCGTGCAGCGTGTCCTACCTGCGCGCGAGTATGTCCCGGGCGTCGGCGGGCGCGAGGCGCGCGGCGGGCTGCAGCGCGTGGTGCGCGTGCTGCAGCCGCTCGAGTGCCAGCAGCGCGGCCGCCTGCACAGCGTGCAGCGTGCAGCGTGCAGCGTGTCCTACCTGCGCGCGAGTATGTCCCGGGCGTCGGCGGGCGCGAGGCGCGCGGCGGGCTGCAGCGCGTGGTGCGCGTGCGTGCAGCGGCGTGTCCTACCTGCGCGCGAGTATGCGGGCGTCGGCGGGCGCGAGGCGCGCGGCGGGCTGCAGCGCGTGGTGCGCGTGCTGCAGCCGCTCGAGTGCCAGCAGCGCGGCCGCCTGCGCCAGGCGCGCGCAGCGCTCGCGGGCCGCCGGCGCCGCGCCGCCCGCCCAGCCCGCCAGCCGCCGCGCGCGCCGCTCCACCACCAGCCCCGCCTCGCGGCTGTACGTGTGGTGCAGCAGGCGGCGCTCGGCGCGCGCCGCCAGGTCGCTGAGCGCGCCGAGCAGCACGGCGTCGGCCGTCTGCGGCGACAGCTGCGCGCGCGCGCTCTCCGCGAGCACGTCCAGCGCCGCGGGCAGCGCGTCCGCGTCCGTGTCCTCCTCTATGTCTTCTGCTATTAGATTTTTTACAGTTGAGAAACTAAAAACCTGTATAAATAATTTTATGATGCAATATTGCAATGTGGTGTCGTAATGAATTGAAGTATTGTACGCACCCAGGTCCCCCGGGTCGGCGAGCGCGTCGGCCCAGGCGAGCAGGCGCGGGCGCAGCGCGGCGCGGAGGCCGGCCAGCCCCAGGTCGTGCGCGGCGCGGAAGGCGGCGGCGGCCGCGCCCAGCCCGGCCGCGCACGACGCCAGCTTGGCCGCGTCGCGCTCGCCGCGGCACAGCGCGCCCGCCTCCGCCACCGCCTCGCTCGCCAGCCGCTCCGCCCACTCGCCGCCCGCCTCCGCCTCGTTCAGGTGCGCCTGCACACCACACCCACCACGTACATTGCAATACTAATACAAGTATTGATCAACCAGATATGGTACTAAACTAATTTTGGATCGCGGAACTCCGGTAAGCTCTTACATGAAACTGTGAGTTCTTTTCGCATTAGTTTGAATGTAAAAGAATTCACACTTATTTAAAAAAATCGAAGGATGCAAGCATGATAATAATTAGCGATGAGCAATAAACGACTAACCAGAAATAGAGCACGTTGCGCGTCGAGTTCCTTGGTAAGTCGCGGCGCAGGCGCGAGTGCGGGTGCGGCGGCGGGCGGCGGCAGCGGCAGCGCGTCGGGCGGCGCGCGCAGCCAGCGGCGCAGCGCCGCCGCCGGCAGCCGCTCCAGCAGCGCGCCCGCCTCGTTCAGCACCGCGCACGCGGCGTCCACGCTGCCCGGCGACACGCCGCGCCTGCACACGGACACACTGCACGCTGCACCTCGCACACACTACACACACTCGCGCGCAGCCGCGCCTGCACCGGACAGCAGCGCGCACGCTGTTCAGCACGTCCACGCTGCCCGTCGACACGCCGCACACACACACACACTCGCACACACTACACACACTCGCGCGCAGCCAGCGGCGCAGCGCCGCCGCCGGCAGCCGCTCCAGCAGCGCGCCCGCCTCGTTCAGCACCGCGCACGCGCCGTCCACGCTGCCCGTCGACACGCCGCGCCTGCACACGGACACACTGCACGCTGCACGCTCGCACACACTACACACACTCGCGCGCACACACACTCCACACACACCGCGCGCGCCGTCCACGCTGCCCGTCGACACGCCGCGCCTGCACACGGACACCGCACGCTGCACGCTCGCACACACTACACACACTCGCGCGCGCGCGCCGCCGGCTCGTTCAGCAGCGCCGCGTTCAGCACCGCGCACGCGCCGTCCACGCTGCCCGTCGACACGCCGCGCCTGCACACGGACACACTGCACGCTGCACGCTCGCACACACTACACACACTACACACACTCGCGCGCAGCCAGCGGCGCAGCGCCGCCGCCGGCAGCCGCTCCAGCAGCGCGCCCGCCTCGTTCAGCACCGCGCCCGCCTCGTTCAGCACCATGCTTAAACAAAACTACTTTAGTACAATATTCCCTTAAAATACAAACCTTATAACTTTTCTAGCAATGAAGAACACGTCATCAACTAGACTCGACGTGGTAGAACCCGCTTGCGGTGTTGCCATTTTCAATGCTTTGCTTACACTCTCCTCCAGGAAATACCTGTATGCGTACATATAGTATTTGTAATAGGAGGAACATTACAAATTTTACATAAAGATTTGTTTTGCTATTTCTTTATTAATTTAAGAACGATAACAGGGACCCATAATTAGTGCACGGTACCTCTCGAGCTGCAGGTAGTGCGCGAGCATGTCCTGCGCGATGCGCGTGAGCTCGCACTCCGCTATGATCTTCTCTATCGCTTCCGCTGACGCTTGCTTGCCTGCCTCGTCTAACGTTGATGCATCTGCCTATAATAAAATCGATCTTCTGTATTTTTCTGTATTGTGTTTAATTCTCTTGAACTATGATTATTTCTCAATACATTTTGCTTTGTATTTTCGTTCTAATTTTAGCTACCTCTGTTTTCCTTCGCAAAAAGTCGAAGTAGAGCCGCACTCGAGACAGCGACAGTGCTAGTTCTGCCAGCACGGGCTCGGCGGCGAGCGCGCCCGCGCCGGTCGCATTCGCTGCGTTGTCGAGACGAGCGGCCCGCTGTGCTGCGAACACACGCCGAGCGCCTGCGCATACCTGCATACGCCGATGACAGTTTCAATGGAGCTTATAGTTGACGTAATTTATATATTTTTTATGTTAATAACTGCTATACATTTTACTATTACTATATGTGCGGGCCGCTGCCCCCGATGGGTCGGTAGGCGCGTCGGCAAGCACCGGGGCGTTGGTACGCCCGGACGTCGACCTATTCTACTCGAGAAAAGAGAGTACTTTGCATAGTGGACGCACAAAGCACTCTCTCCTGGAAGGGCCTCAGTCTTCGCCGCAGGCGCGTTGCGTGAAGGACCAGGTACGGCTGTACCACTATACACGATGACGACAAGATGATCTTGAAATGGCGATGGCGTGAGGAGACTATTTTCCACGATTTCTTCCTATTTTCTCTTACTATTGTTTGCTCTCTAGGGAGGTCAACTGCGCTATGCCTATCGGCCAATGAGGGCCCTATATTTATATTTAACTATGACCGCTGGCCAGCGGATCAGCGGTGCACTAGTCTCCCCACCTCCTATACCCAAATTTATTGTGACATCTATATTTTTACATTACACGACTTAGAACTTACTGTACTAGGTAGGCATACTTATAAACTAGCATTTGCGATCGATTTGTGTGCAGCGCACAAATAATGGCGTACGGTTAATGAATAATTCGCGATTCCGCGGGTCGCGGCTTTTATATGACCCCGCACTCCTTCCCCTGCGTATATATTTTAGGAGCGCGGGGTCGCGCGTCAGTTTAACGATAACCGCCGCGCAACGCATATCACAATGTTTTTTTCCTATTTCTAGGTATTCGGTCTATCTATTTCTATCTATTTGTGCCTAATGGAGACCTATTTTGTCAGGTGAGTGGTATGCTCGTTTGTCCCATGTGTTGTAAAGAAAAACGTGCGTGCTCACCGCGGGCTGCAGCAGGCGCAGCGCGCGCGGCAGGCGGCCGGCGGCGGGCGGCGGCACGCGGCGCGCGCGCTCGGCCGCCGCCGCGCCCGCCTCCAGCACGCGCGTCAGCGCGTCCGCGAACACGGCCGCCTCCGCACCAGCACCGGCACCGGCGGCACCAGCACCCGCGCCGCCCGCCACCACGCACGCGCGACGCACCGCGCCCTCCACCTCGGCCACACACACGCACCGTTACCATCTCATTTGTAGGGAGGCAAGTCAAGAAAGGAAACATTCGCTACGATACCTATCTCTACGAACATATATTTATTTTTCTCAAACATGCTTGGAAATGTGAGCATTATTTTGACAATCTTCTTCGAGATAAATCGAAATTGCCGTACTGGCCAGATACATGCGGGCAGCGGCCGGCAAAAGTTGTATGAATAATCCATATCTGTCGTGTTTTGCGGCCAGATAAATTACTATGTAGACTCATATCTGTCCTGTAATTTAAGAATGGAATGACCTTTTACTTCGAAACATGGCTACCAAGGAGGTAACTAATAAAAGGTTTTATTTAAATTTCGAACTGGCTTGCAAATAGAAAGCTGTTTATTGAAAAAAAAAACAAAGGAACAGTATGGCGCGTGAAAAATTATTATTGTTCGTTATTCGTCATTGAACTTAAAAAGTAAAATTGTGTTTTTGATTTCCACGCATTGTTTGAGAAAAGTACTATGCAAGTCTTAGCCACAACTAGGCATTGATAAGCTCACGTATGTGTGCCTCGGTTACGCCTCGGCCCACATTTGCACGTTCGTCCATTAATGCCTCAGTTGCTGGCCGCTGCAGTAATGTACTATATCTATACATGTACGTATATTGTATATGTGTATGTGTGTGTAAGTATATGCATAGATATAGGTATGTATTTATGTATATGTATATGTATATGTGTATTTGTACGATTAAATATAATATAATTAGTTTAATTTTGTCTGTATAAAAATTGTCACAATATTGTACACTATTGTACCCGCTGACATTGATGCTCCTTTCTACTTTGAGTGTTGCTGGAAGAGAACTCTATTAGAGTTAAGCTCCCCTTTGTACTTTTGATTACTTTATTTATTTATTATTTATTTAAATCTTTATTGCACCATAAATAAAAATATACAATGACAAGTGAATAATTCAAATGAAATACAGTAACATAAATACAGATTGAAATATACACATAAAGGTACAAAAGGCGGTCTTATCGCTAGGGCAATCTCTTACAGACAACCTTTAGTTAAGGGAGAACAGATAGAAAAGGGCAAGTGGGGCAAGAGTGAATTAATAATTTTCGTGCATAAAATACAAAAACATGTAATTCTCCCTGCCCCGCTATCATTCAAACCTTATCGCCAATCTAACTGAGCTTTGTGATTGGTCGGCTGGCCAACTATCCGCGGCGTCCGCGCTTCCCCGCCAATCACGGAGGAGATCGCCTCACCGCTCCGCACCGCATGGCCTACAGAGAAGCTACCACCGCCTATTGTTGACTATATATTTGCTTACGTCGCCATATTGTAAGGGTGCGTGCACACCTATTAGGTAGGGGGGAAAGGGATTGTTAGTAATGGAGACTGAGAATCCCATTGCTAGCAATATACCCAACCAGGTCGACCTCCTTGCGGTTCTCTCTGGAAACTATCATGGTCATTTCCTGATGAATTCATCATGATGGGTTAACTGGCCTGGTTTCATTCTCATCTATCACCCTTCGCTGGTGCTCCGCCAGCGTATCCCGTTAGCGCAGGCGGGGTTACCATACCATTTTCAATCATCACAAAAAACCTATTAGGTTGGGATATACCGATTATCCTGATGGTAGTCTTCTATAGTAGTTACAGAAATAATAGAAAAAAGTAAAATATATTATGACGACCCAAAATAATATGGAGTGAAGACAAGATTATGATCAATTCAAATACATGGGGCACACTAAAAGTTTTGCACTTCTAGCTAATCGGAACTATTTGAATTTTGAATGCTATATTTTTTGAAACGTTGCAACCTTCTTAGTAATAAAAAACAACAATTAGCGGGAAATCATTTGTCAATTGTTTTTTATCACACATCAAAGTTCTACGTACGCAACGAAAATGGAATTGAGACGAAAAGATTTTAGAGCGATGATTTTTTATGATTTTAAAAGTTCTCTCTCTCCGCAAAACTGTGCTGCTCGTCTTCAAAATGCTATTGGGAGAGAAGCACTTTGTTTGAGCACCGTGATTTGAGAGAGGTCGAGTTTCTTTACATGACGAATTTCGTGAAGGGCGGCCTTCAACTGCCGTTAACGAAAATAATGTGGCTACTGTTAAGCGGCTAATTGAAGAAAACCCGCAGATTATCTATGAGGCAATTCGAGAACTATTGGGGATTGGTATGAGCCAAATTCAGAAAATTTTACACGAAGAATTGAGAGTTCGGACACTTTGTTGTCGTTGGATCCCTCATGAACTGACAGCGGAGCAGAAGCGGGCTCGAGGGGAATGGTGCTTACAGATGCTATTGAAGTACGACCACGGACATTCTAATGCTGTTTATGACATTGTCACAGGAGACGAAACGTGAATTTACTATTTTGAATCCGAAAAAAAACAACAGTCTTGTGTATGGGTGTTTGAAAATGAGAACAGGCCAACAAAAGTGAAGCAGGCGAGAATCGTTGGTAAAAAAATGATCGCGTTTTTATTCTCAGCTACGGGTCCCATCTGTACAATTCCACTTGAAGATCAAAAGAGTGTTAATACCGAGTGGTATTCTACCATTTGTTAACCCAGGATATTAGAAAAGGTTCGCGAAAGACGACCAAAAAGCCGCATCCTCCTACATCATGACAATGCTTCTTCACACACGGCCAACAAAACAAAGTCATTTTTAGCTTCCGAAAAAGTACAACTCGTCACCTATCCTGCATATAGCCCCGACCTAGTACCCTGTGATTTCTGTTTTTTCCCCAAAATTAAATATTTGATGAGAGGTTTCGCTTTTACCAACCCCGAAGAAGCAGTGATAGTGTTCAATCAGCACGTAGAAAACATGCCTTCAGATCTGTGGTCCTCCTGTTTTAAAAAATGGTTCGATCGCATGAAAAAATGTTTAAAATGTAAAGAAGAGTATTTTGAAAAGCAATAAACATAATATTTTGGTTATAACATGTTGTTTTTTTAAGTTACGCAAAACTTATAGTGTGACCTACGTATAATAATACTTACTTGTGTAAGGAGATACTTCGCGAGCAAATCGACTCCGTCGTCAGCGCGACCGATCTGGGGGAACAACCTGAACAGGCGTTCCACCGCCGCTTCGTCTTCCTTTTTTGCTGCCTCCTCGAATCTTACAATAAGTACGAAATTGATACATTTATATTTTTGTCGTTCAAAAAAATATAAAATATGTTTAAAACATTATTTGTTCTACAGATCTCAATTATGATAACAAAAAAATTGTTTTATACAGCAAGTAATTATTATGTTATCATCGACTACAAATCTTACTAATTTTGAAATAAATGTGCATTCATTTATACTTTATTACATTGGTTACTAAAATAATAAATACTGTAAATGATCCATATTTTCAAGTTCCGGTGTCAAACGAGGTATTTAATAAAAAAATAAAATTTGAATATAGAATACAAAAATAGAATGCAAAAGTTAGCGTTACAATCAGCGAACATGCGCTGGGTTGGCATCAATGCGTACAGTTAACGTGGACTGTAAATAACATACATAGACGAGTGTGGCGTATCACGTAAAAAAAAAAGGAGAATTTGCCGATATTCTATCGATAGAAAAGACGATGAGCGCGAGCGTTCTACGGTGGAACGTACACTTATCGTTTTAAATTCGCGAAACTCCAAACATACTTCTTTCTATAGCTTACTACTCGTAACTTTCATTTGTTGGATTACTGTTGTTATCCATGTTCTGACTTTCATTCAATACTAGCTGTTACCCGCGACTTTGCCCACGTTTCCGTCGTTTTTCGTAAAATAAGTAACTTATGACTTTCCTCACGGTTCAGAGGTTTTGATGTAACAGACACATTTCCCTCCACTGCTCTGCTCCTATTGATCGTAGCGTGACGAAAAGTACATTATAACCTGCCCAGGAGTATGAAGAATAATTGTACCAAGTTCCTTTAAAATCCGTCGAGTAGTTTTTGTTTCTGTAACGAACATACAGACAGGCAGACAAAAATTTTACTGATTGCATTCTTGGCATCAGTATCGATCACTAATCACCGCCTGATAGTTATTTTGGAAATATATTTCATGTACAGAATTGACCTCTCTACAGATTTATTATAAGTATAGATTTACAAAACACAATATACGTGTAAACATGTCTAGACAACGAGTGTAGTGTCAATAAATAAATAAGGGGTACCATACTTGCGTACGAGATGTTCCCCGAGCGTGGCGGCCGCTCGCTCCATGGTGTGGCGAGGGTCGGGGGCGCCGCGCGCCCGCGCCGCCTGCAGCGAGCCGGGCTCCATGGACAGGTAGCGGGCCACGTGCGCCGCGCCTGCACACGTACCCTCGTCACTGCCGTCACTGCTGTCACTGCCGCCACACACCACCACACCGCCCACCAGTCAAGTAATACATACCCGTTTCGTAATCGTGAGCTTTTATGGCCGCCTCCACGCCTGCACTGCACAGCTGCAAGTCTATCAAGTCGTGCACGCGCCGCTGACACTCGGCCACACGCGACTAGTGCAAATAATATGTTGAAACTTTTCAATTAATGAAATACTTTATTAGATAAGTTGGTAAGGTGATAGGTACTACAAAGATGGTATGTAATTTGAAAACATTAGTCCCTTCATATTGTGCATGAATTTTAATATAGGTACAATAATTTAATTCCTGCATGTTTTAGATCAAATCTTACTGTATGAATAAAAATAGCAAATAATACTCTTTTATTTTTTAATTAATTTCTCATATTTTAAATATTATTAAGAGAAATTATATGAATTTTAAATTGAAATGAATAAACATAAAAAATAATCAATTCTAAAAATTTTCACCCACTTAATTAAACTTCATTATAATTAAGTAACATGGGTTAATTGAACCCATAATCTAATTGTGTCAAGCTCCAATTATAAATTTAAATATGTATATGTTTATTTTAAAAAATCATATAAAGTTTTAGCTGGTTACTAATATTTTATAATTTCATTAATGGTTGAACTCACTCTAGCTAAGTCTAGTTGGCGTACTTTAGCACTGACATCTCTCGCCAGTTCTGCAGTTCTATCTACCATGTCAGCAGCCACTTGTGCATCTGTTTTCACTTCTCCCAGCTTTGTGTACGCCTGGCTGGCAGTACGTAGTCGGCCCTCCAGTGTGCAAGCACGTGACAGCACACCAGCTAAAGCTTCATCTACTTCTACCTGGTAAATCAATAATTGGATTTAAAATTAAATTTTCAAATAACTTTCTAAACCTATTTGAATTTCTAAAGAATAAAAAAAAACCAAATCAAATAATGTTTTGAATAATTTTTTTTTCTAAAATTTCTGTTTTTTTTATACAACTTAGAATGGCAAACAAGCTGATGGCCCACCTGATGGAAAGTGGTAACCGTCGCCTATAGACATGAGCAGGACCATGGACATAACAGAGTATACTGTTTCGCCCATGATATCCCCCATGCATTTTCATTTCTGAGGACTCAGATGTTATTCCTCTGTACCCTGTAAATTCACGCCAAATACACAGTAGAGGTGGTCTTAAACTGATTGTAATAGGATTGACTATAGTTTGTAAGGAATTTGTTGATTAAAATTACGTGTTACATTGAGGAGTGTATTGCAATAACTGAATAAAAACTGGGGGAAGGGTTGTTAGCAATGGAGTTTGACAGCCCCATTAGGTTGACCTCCACGTGGTTCCCCCTGGAAACCATCGTGAACAATTCTTATTGAATTCATCACGATGGGCCAACTGTCCTGCTTCGTCCTCATCTATCATCTTTCACTGGTGCCCCACCGGTGTATACCGATAGCGCGGGTGGGGTTATCATTCTATTATCATCCATAAAAAAAAACTGAATGAAAACTACAAATACAGAATAATATGTACGGGAGGTTGAAATAAGTACATACAAGAGTCCTATTTTATAACATAAAGTATGTAACAAATTATTTATAGATTCAACACTAGTAAAATAAGCAACCTATTGCACCTATTCCTGTTTTAATGTAAAAACAACAGCCAATTCCAAAATAACATATTATTTATTTATTATTTGTTGCACAATAAAATGTTGTACAAATGGTGAGCTTAATGCCATATTATGTTATATTAAAATAAGTAAACATTGTTTAAAGATAAAAATTTTCTAATTGTTTGAAATTAAACGTGTTTTAAAAAATATCAACTTTTCCACATTGGTATTATTGTTTTTTCTCTATTAAACAAATGTACTTACTATATTTTTTTATGAGCTTTTTATAAGTCTATTGTTAATTGATTAAGATTAAGATTAACGTCACTATTAGTAGGCGAATTAATTAATATTTATTCATCGTGCAATTACATATCTAGGAGACTGGATTCGCCTTTTAGAGGGTGTTAGTTTTTGAGAGGTTAGCATTGATTTGAATTGGTTACTGTTACTAATCTCTTAATACCTTGAAGTTATATGCATATGATTCCAAAATCACTAAATATTGAAAAACAATACCAATAATAATTAAACCGGAATAAGAATTATTTTGCCGTCAACATCATACGGATTTTAACCTACCTCTTCCTTTTCGATTTCAAGCAGAGCTTTCTGCAGTCCTTCTTCTGTAGATACATCATATTTTTCTAGCAACAATGTTAGAGACATATTACGGAATTTTTCTATAAGAATATTTTTGAGTTTTTATAAAATAAAAATTGTAAACAACGTCAGCTAAGGAGATTTGACAACTCAATCAAATGAAAGTGACAATTTGATGACAACATCAATAGTTTGACAAATAATAATGCATGAGATCCCTAGTCGCTTGAGTTAAGTATACATTACATGCCGCTTATACAAAAAAGATAGAGCAATTATACCTCCGTTTTATAAGCATATTATAAACTAATAGTGTTATTTATGTTTGTATATGCAAATTTTGAAATATCTGTGATGTATATAAACAGAAATGTATATGTGCTTGATTGAAGCTGCTTGATGTTTGAAAAGCTCTGGGTCTAACTCACTGCTTTGACATTGACATTATGACATTCTCGAATAAAGATATACAGAGTCTATTCAGAAATTAGAATGAATATCTATCGGAAGAAGAAATAGGCACTTATAAAAATATATTTCCTGTATGAAAACTTTGTTTTTTTTTTTAAATACAACTATGGTCATGTGAAAATTTTATAGAAAGTTATAAATTTTAGTTTGCATATAAATTTTTATTTTAGTTTGCGTGATATATTAAAAATATACGTATTTTTAAAGAAGTTTGTACTTATATTCTCCAACAGAAAGATCTAATAATGCAAAGTTTTGAACGGAACGATTAAAAATTAATAGATTGCTGAACTGGACAAATTTCCCATACATATTGTCTGTATAACAAAATGAATTGAAATAGTAAACAGAAATTTTAGATTGAAAAATCGATGTGTCGATAATTGTGAAAGATTCCTCTAAGCGCTTAATTATAGACTGCGCTCCTCCGAGCACGGGTTTTGTTTGGCAGTAGAACAGTAATCGTCAAAGGTAATAACGATGCTAGTTTTGACACTTGCCTAACACGATTGCTAAACAAACCTAGATATTACTGCGATGTCTGCCTAACATCATTGGGTGCTTTTGATCCTTTGCAGATTGACTCCGTGTGGGGTTGGGCTTCGCCCCCACTGCGTTTGCAGTTGGGTAACGCGCGCGGACCCAAGAGGTAATGATCCATCATTTAATAAACAAATTAATTGTTCACTGTTTGTCGTGATAATTTTATCCTTATTGAAACAACTATTGATAGCTTAAATCAGCTTTTACATGGTTCATGCCTTATATATATATTGTTTATTTTAAAGTAGATAAAAAGTACACAAAAATTAAACTTACCTCTAGATTCTGTGTTGTAAATATTGGTGGGAAAGTTTGTACATAATCTACAATGTGTATAGATATTCAATAGTTGGTGTTATAAGCATACAGTTACAGAATAAATGTCTTGTCATGGTACTTATTTAGTAATTCACAACTCATTGGGGTCACTGTAATATTCATGATTGTAATAATAATATTTCTTTTCTCAGTTGTTTATTCTTCTATATTTAAATTTGTTTATTAAAAAAAAAAGCAATCTGTATTCTTAGTTGATTATCCCATAATCTGATGTGAAGATGTAGACAAGTGCAGTGAAGTGGCGTGAATTTACTGGGTACAGGGGAATAACACCTGAGTCCTCAGGAATGGCAATGCATGGGGGGTATCATGGGCGAAACAGTATACTCTGTTACGTCCATGGTATTGCTCATGTTTATAGGCGACAGTTATCACTTTCCATCAGGTGGGCCATCAGCTTGTTTGCCATTCTAAGTTGTATAAAAAAAAAAAAACATTCTATATAAGCAACTCATTTGAACCAATTTCAATACAAAAATTTCTTATTGGCATAAGTTGCTTACAGGGAAAAAAAGAGTGTAAAAATACTTCCCGTCTGGAAAATATTGTTACTTATTTCTTTTACTGATTGATCTGAGTAGAATAAATAAAATATAAAGAATGTTGCTTATATAGAACATAAGTGTTCACTGTATAAGGTGATCACCTAGTGATTTCATATCTTGATCCACTATATACTATAGGTGGGTTGTACGTGACATTAAAATATTTTATAACTTCATATATCAGAATATTATTATACTATTATATTAAACTATTATTATCAAGTTTCTTTATGATTTTCTATGTTATGGACTTTTCTTTTGATGTCAGTAAGAAATTTATTAAGCAAATATATATATATATATATAACAATGCTTGATTCAATATGCTGTCCACATAGTTATGAGATTTTTAAAAGTAGTATGTATTAATCTGACATAAAAGTAGATGTTTTATATATTATATGTCATCATCATCATCATCATCATTTCAGCCATTTTCTGTCCACTGTTGGACATTGTCCTTATATATTATATGTGTAATCAATTATAATTAATTATGCATAGAGCCCTGAAAAATAATTTTCATATTTTTCTCTGGGAACATGTGATCGAAAACCATCTGGAAAGTATGATGATGTTATATGAAAGCAAAAAAAATGTCTGTCATTGATGTTTCTTTGTATGCTTGGTAATATATAAGTAAGTAGTATACTGTTCACTAAAAACTCAAATATTTCTTTTTATTTTACAACTGCTAAATTACACTTAAAATGTAGGGCATCAAAATGACAATATTATATTGTGAACTTAAATTGATAATTAATGTCTTTATAAAATCTAAATATTAACTTTAAAATGAAATCGTCATAAATTCACATAAATAAAAATATGTTTAAGTACATCAAAATGATTTTCAAAAATGAATTTGGTTGAATCATTTACTATAGCATTAGGATTTCTATGAGCAAGTTACAACCAATTTTTGCATGTTATGGGATTTTTTGGTACATTAATAAATATTTTTTCTGGTGTTTTTATAGTAGTATTTGTGCACACTGACACAACACACTGTTTCTACATTTTCTTTCTTGGTAAACAGTAAAAATTAACAAAAATAAAAACTCGTATGTGACTCTATATAATTGTTTACTTCCTTGTGACGTCACTGACGCCATATTGCTCAAAAGTTGCGTTTTGGCGGCATATTTAAATTGTATTTTTTATTTATTTTTTTGAATAAAAAAATTATAAATAATCAGAATGAATAGGCTCTATATGTTTATAGACTACTAAATACCACTGAACAGTCGGAGATCATTCCCACAAATCAGTCGTATAAATATATAATAGGCTATTATACCCACCTAAAATCTAGTGACAATTATAATTAAATAGCTTATTTTATTTATGTAATAACCAATATTTACCAGTGCCTCGATTCACAGGACTGGCCTATTGACTTATTGGTATCATTCTCCATTTCAAATACCATACATGCCAAATATCAATGATTATATTAAAGCTGTTAAGGCACCTAATGATATTGATCAATATTAATCGGGGAAAGTTACCTATTACCTATACCTCCCAAAGATATTAGAAGCCGCTCAGAAATATCTAGAGTCGGGTTAAATACATAATAAATAATAAAAATAAAGTATAAAAGTAAAAGCACACTAGATTTATAACATTGATTTGGCTTTTGCTGTTATAATGTTATAATTATTTTTAATTATTTATTTATTTATTTATGTACACTTTATTGCACCATTTATAAAATAGTAAACACATTTAACTGTAAAAAGAAATGATACAAAAGGCGGCCTTATCGCTAAGCAATCTCTTCCACACAACCTTTGGGTAGAGAACATTGAGAAAACAAAGAAAAATAATTTTTAATTAATAAATAAATAAATAAATTAATTTATATTTACAATAAATAAGGTAGATTGATTTCTTTATACTTAATAAATGTATGATAACATAAACACCTAATGTTATGTAACATTGTAACAATATTTACTTACTTTATACAAATTGAAATTGTAAAATTAAAACTGTTCTCATCCTCTTTCTCATGTACATTTGCCTATCTCTGTCCTTATGCTTATCTAGCCTTTATGATGTTTTATTTTGATATTTGAACTTGTAGCATATTAATTATTAGTGATTCAGCCCGACTATGTATACATAGATAACATAGCTTCTATAACAAAGAATTTTTAATAATACTTGAGTAGTTTTTGAGTTTATCTATTACAAACAAACAAACAAAGAATCAATCTTTGCCTCTTCATAATATTAGTATACATTAAACATCTACCCTTTATAATTCCAAAACTTCTTAAACAAGTTTCAACTGCATGATGGTATCCTTAAGGTAAGAGAAGAATGTAATGTAAGAAAGACTCTGTTTTTCGCACTTAGCCTCTCATTTGGGCCGTTGTGCGTGTGATATCCTTAAGGTTACAATCATAATTTGATTTGTATAGGCGACGGTTACAACTTTCCATCAGGTGGGCCGTCAGCTTGTTTGCCATTCTAAGTTGCATAAAAAAAAAAATTAATGCATTGTTTATAAATTCATTAAGCATAATTTGTATCTATTTCATAAAATGTCAAGTAGTAATATAAATAATTACAAAGGTTTTTGATTAATAGGAATATATTAAAGTAATTTGTAACTACAGCTCACACATGCACCAATGACATACCTCCTTTAGATAATTCACTTTAATATCTTCATGAGATATTAAAACATTAAATTGCTACTAAAAATATTTAAAAATTCCTATCGTTGAAAGGAATTAGCAGCAAATTTTAAAAGGGGGTAAGCACAGTAAATCACAGTGTTACAGATTTTTCTACCTAACAAAGCCCATTACTCAATTATTATATTATTAATTGTAAAATGAAGCTTTTAAAAGCGATACTTTTAATGCAAAATTACGATATTATCCAAGGGCATTATATATGTTTACATAAATAAGTTGAAACAAAACACTTGATGTAAATAAAATGGATATTCTAATTATGTTAAGTAGGTAAGTGTTGCCAAATGGCCTGTGCCATTTGCCCTTAATGTAATCTGACATAATACATACCTAACATACTGTTACTTATTACATAGATACAAATTCTTAATAACTGGCTGTTTCACATTTTTTATTAATATTATAAGCTTGAAAGTGTGTTTGTTATATCTTGGTGCGTTAACTTTTAACCAGTTATCATGAATTTTTTTTTTTTATACAACTTAGAATGGCAAACAAGCTGACGGCCCACCTGATGGAAAGTGGTAACAGTCGCCTATAGACATGA